ATGTATGCATGTATGTAGGTTTATATACAATGCTATTAATTCAATAATAATTTAAATGTACTTCTAGCGTAGTTACACCGATCAGTTTTCTGTAATACTTTCGTGTTTAGAAAATGTAAAATTTTAAGGGGTGACCTAAACAATTATATATAGGTGTGTATGTGTGTTTGTGTGTGTGTGTGTGTGTGTGTGTGTGTGTGTGTGTGTGTGTGTGTGTGTGTGTGTGTGTGTGTGTGTGTGTGTGTGTATGTGTGTGTGTGTGTGTGTGTGTGTGTAAATTCACAGACATACATACCTATGCGTTTATATATATATATATATATATATATATATATATATATATATATATATATATATATATATGTATATATATATATATATATATATATATATATATATATATATATATGTATATATATATCTGTGTGTGTGTGTGTGTATACGTACGTGCGTGCGTGCGTGCGAGTGTGTGAATGTATATCTATCTCTCTATCTGTTTATGTAGATATGTATATATATGTGTATGTATATATATGTGGATGTATATGTGTATATATACATATATACATATATACATATGTATATGTATATATGTATATATCTATGTTTATATATGTATATATGATATACATATATGTATATATATATGTATATATATATATATATATATATATATATATATATATATATATATATATATGTATATATATATATATACACAGTATGTCTATATATAATATATATAAATTTATGCATATGTATATATATATCTATATATATATATCTATGTATATATGTATTTATATGTATATATGCACGTATATACATATATACAATATATGTGTATACATATATATATATATATATATATATATATATATATATATATATATATATATATATATATATATATATATATATATATATATATATATACATTTATGTGCAAATCCGCACGCGTGCACACACACAGATTGCGCGCATATAAGTGTGAATACGCATTCTTGCACACACGCGGGTCACTGGTCAGCCACCCCAATAAGTCAGTTACAAGTCAACATGGCGCCAAGTAGTTCTTCAAACACCGCATCAGTAATAGCACGAATATTAACCCATTCGCCACACGTGGCAAGAATAGATGCCATACCCACTTTGATACACATTTATTTATTATATTTACACATAGATGTCTCTACAAGTTCTTAATCACCAAATAGCCAGTTATCAAGAACTACCTATTTCACCTGTTTACCCTTTTCCTTCACTTTAGGAAAGGGTTTTTTATATAATTTCATTGTCAAAATTATTCTAATGACAATTCAATAATCATAACATCAATAACAATAATAACAGTAACGAAAGCAATGGTATTAATTTTCCCGCCAATTCAATGAATGGAAAAATCAGGGTCGGTAACTAGGGCCTACTGATAGACTCCTTGCCGGCAGAGCCATCTGTATGTAACAAAATTCACCAAAAACTACAGGGGACAGAACATAAATCCGTGGCGAATGGGTTAATATGAGTATATACATACATATATATATATATATATATATATATATATATATATATATATATATACACAATGTACACACACACACGCACATATTCATGTGTGTGTGTGTGTGTGTGTGTGTGTGTGTGTGTGTGTGTGTGTGTGTGTGTGTGTGTGTGTGTGTGTGAACAAAGAGATAGGCAAGAGATGAACTGAGAAGTTGACTGACGACAATCTATCTACTCTTGATAGACAGACTAGCTGGTGTATAACGAGAAACATTCCATATTTTAATTTCCTAAATTGTACCTATTTGTGTCCTATTTCATTTTGTCAAGTAAACATAGAGACTGTGGAAGTAAAGAATGATCTGCACGAGCAAAAGATGAACCTCCATAAGCTCAAGATTTAATGGCTTAGGGAATGGTAGGAGACGGCCCTTCCTTGCGTCGGGTATGAACAGAACATACCAGGCACAATAAATGATAGAAAATGAAAGAAAATGATAAAAATGAAAAAAATGATATCAGAAATGACAATTTTCGAATGAAATGGAAAATAAGACCAGGAAAAGATTACTTTCTACACAGATGAGAATGTATCAAAAATGAAAGAAAGAAAGGAAGAAAAAAAAAGAAAACTATTGAGCGAGAAAGAAAGACAATTTGAGAAGAAAACAAGAATACATAGTAGTGTATTAATGTCTTTAATCGGCGAGATCAATGATACTGAATTTTTACTTTATTTTCCGTTAATTAATTTAGAATCAATATGCATTTTTAACGAGTGTTCTCCTTTGGAAATTATATTTCTACGTGGACAAATCTTCGAACCTTTTTTCTTTCTTCAGTCAGTTATGATCTGTAATTTGATACAAGAAGACATATGGAAAAAAAATCTTATTTACATTGTTGATGGATCAATCAATTATCTTTCTTGCTATATGCTACTTTATCTTTTACCTTATTATTACTCTGTCTTATTATCCCTACTCTACTATTTTATCTATACTCACTCTCATTATTTTTTTCTCTATATGTATATCACTATCCTGCTCCTATTCAACACACCTGCCAAATACATCTGTTTCTACATCATCTGAGCACAAAATGGAAGGAACTGTAAAAGGTGTGTGTGTGGGGGGGGGGGGAGGTCACTCAGAATCAGTTGCCAATTCGTCGCTGAGAAATGTCAAAGGGCGACAGGAAAGTCATTACGCGATTCCTCTTTTCTTTCTCGTGTTTAATTAAGTCGTTATTTTTTTTTGTGTGTGTGTGTGTTTAGTCGGTTCGGTTTCCTTGTTTGTCCATGAAGGGCGTTCACTGCCTGCGTATTGATCTGGTTTATATTTGCCGCAAGTAGGGGGAAACGTGGTCGCATTTCAGGCCTGTTTAGTTTCAAGGCACGCACGCATACACACACACACACACACACACACACACACACACACACACACACACACACACACACACACACACACACACACACACACACACACCCTATAATGGTCTCTAATTCAATTTACAGAAATCCACTATATAATCTGGAGGTTCAGAGGAAAACTCAGTATCTGTTAACAGACTTTATTAGTTAACCAGACACGTAGTAAATGGAGATATAAAATGGTAGGCGTGGACGTGGCAGATAGGCGTCGGCTTCCTACGGGAGGCAAGAAGGGGAAGGTGTTGCTTGGATCAGGCCTAGACTCGTTCTGTCTGTTCCTGGGGACACTGGCCATTCCTCCCTTTGCCCTGCTCAGGGGCGCGACCCCCTGCAGCGGGCCTCTAGGCACACCTCTCTGCAGCTGCTTCCTGTTTTCGCTGGGGGTCAGGTCAGCGGCAGCTGCTCCAGCTTGGTGCTTCCTGAATGTCACACCGCTCTGCCACCTACTGTAAAGGGGAGTTATTTGACCTCTTATACATTGGTGACTGGAGTAGTAAAAGCTTGGGTGGCTTTACACTCTTTATTCTGTAAGAGTTAGCACACAGTTATATTGATAAACACATGAACGGTCTTGGGTGTATGCTTGGGTCGCCTAAGGTCACGGACGCGGCCCAGCCCAGCGGCCAGAATAGCCGCGCCCAGGGATCACACTTGACCCAGCAGCGGCAGAGCACACTCTGACTGACAGGGGTCATCCTTGGAGTATAAGTAGCGGCGGTCACCGGAAGCAGCTGCAGGCGGCAGCTGTTCGGCAGCTGTTTCCACCCGGTATACACGCACACACGCACACATACAGACACACGCACGAACGAAAGCATCCATTGAGGAACATTTTCCTCCCATAGTCCTATCCACTCCGAGTTGAGGCCGAATGCGCCGCTCGCCCTTTTTCTGCGCGGTAGGTCGAGATTCACGGAACCTTACGACGCACGCTCGGCCCCTTAGAGGAGCAAACTCACTCCAACATTATTACTCCTTTAATAAAAGAATCACATGACTTCAATACACATTACGATTTTTTCTTGATTTTCTTGCCGGTTTTATTCTAGTCCACCTAATAAAACTTATGTACTTTTTCAAGGAGAAAACAACACCACATTTGCTTTCACTCTTTATTTTTAAACATTACAAACAACAGTCATGTCACAAAGGAAATATCAGAAAATACCATCCAAATCGCCCCAGGAAATGCACTGCTTGGCAACCGTTGCTGAGCAAAATCTGCCAAAACAACAGGTCAGTAAAAATGAGAAAATAAGTCCATATCAAACGTTACATGGTAGAGGTTTAGGTCTTAGAAGTCACGATTCTATGTCTATTTCAAAGACCTAGATTCCTCGTGCCTTTGACATCAGGAAATCCACCTTATGTCAGTCGGAATTTTAGATTTCGTCCCTGTGTGAGACAATTTTTTTTTATGTCTTATATGATACGTACAAACTTTCATTTTATTCCGATCCTCTTCGTAGAATTCTAAATTCCACTGGTGAATCTTACATACGATAAAACTAGGTATCCTTAAGTTATTTTGGCAATCGTATTGTTGATATTAAAAAGCTAAATCTAAGTAACAATAAAAAATATGCTCACCGCCTTAGCTTACGTCGTCAGTCATTACGCCATGGTTGATGGTATGGATTCTGCGTTATTTCATCTTGCCTCTTCCTTTGTACTTACCTTCACTTATCTATCGGTTTATACACTGAAATCGACAGGTAAACGACCAAACTTCAGGCTTCAGGATGTTGGGTATTTTGTTTCCATTATTTACAGTAATTTAAGAGCGTTTTTTTTATCATTCAGTTGGTTTCGGGTCATTGGTTTGTTATCGTTATTATTATTGTTGATTAATATCAGTTTTTAAGTGTGTGTGTCGGAGGGGGGGGAGGCATCTTCTCGTGAAAATGTTTATTGCTAGTCTGATGAGGTATTTTATTGTTTTTCTGTCCAAGAGATCCATAAATATATGAAAACTAACGAATTGTATATGATAGATGTGATTTCAAGTTTATTCATTTACCTATCTTTTAAAACTTTATCTTCTTTATTTTGCTTCGTTTTCCCATATGACTAAACTACCATCCTAATGTATCACATTATTAATTTTCGTCGTCGTATTTTTTTTCCCCCATTTTTATTTTAATTGGAGAGAAAGAGGAATTATGCAAGAGGGCGAGAGACAAGTTATCACACCCAGTCATCACAAGGAGGACGAAGAAACGGAGGAAGAGGAAGAGACGGAGGACCGAGTTCGAGCCGCCTCCTCCTGCCCTCGTCTCGGCCAATCTCGGGAAAAAAGGAAAAACCGGCAACTCAACCCGGGCTCCGCATGACTCCGATTCGCTAAGTTTCTTTCGAAGTAAGGAATAATAAATTGTGAAATAATATAAATACTGTAGAATGATAATAATGATATTGGTGATGATGATAATAATTATAATCTATAAACATAAGTATTAGCTGATTAGAAAAACAAGAGATTTGGCAAATTGGAGTAATTTAGAATTGAAGGTGAGTTGCCAGTTGTGTTTTTTTTCTGAACCTGGACACACTTTATATGCTCCTGTTAGGTCTTTTAGTATTTTTTTCATGTTTTGTTTTATCTTTGTTGCTGTTGTTCTCGATCTTCATAACGGAAGACATGAATCTAACTATCTGTTTATTTAACTTGTCATATTCTTTATCATTGTTATTATCAATCATTACTTTCATTGTCTAAGTGAGAAGAATGGCAGGCTCATGATGTCCATTTTCACGTCTCTTTTCAAGCATGTATCACCGGATCCTTGCCTCGAAGAACAACCTGAAGGAGGGAGAACAGTTCTTCCGTGGTCTTCGAGGCGCATGAGCTTCTCCTCGAGGGAACGGCCTCGAGAAGGAGCTCCTCAGTGAGCGTCGAGGCGCACGAGGTTCTCCGGCGGAGTGCCAACGTCGAGGAGGAGGTGCGTGAAGAGCGGGTGGCGGTGGATGGCCAGGAGGCTGTACTTGAGGGTGTTGAGTCCGTCTAGTCGGTAGCGCCTTCCCGACGTCCTCACGAGCTTCCCGCGGACCTGAAGGCGACAAGGAAGGAGCTTATGGCGAGGATGAAGAAAAGGGGGATTTGATTTTCATATAGAGAGGGTCGCATGAATATGTAAATGTCTCATTTCCTTGTCCTCTGAAGGGCACCCACAGACCCAGTTCACAGTCCCAACTCAAGAGGGATCTAACTTCACTGCTCAAACAAAATTAATACAGTCAAACGAAAATGGATTTTTTAAAACACTTGTATGAACTTAGTTGCCAATTCCAAACTACGGTTCGACTGTACCCCTCTATCCTGTTGAAAAAAAGTCTTCTCTATAAGGAAAGATCAGAATGAAAACTGATCACTTCACAAGACAAGATATTTGATTAATATTTCATTATCTGTCTATTCACTAAAATAACAACTCAGATGAAGAAACGAACAACAAATTCAACATTCACATTTTCTTCGACGTTTTCGCCAACAAACTTTCTCACAAAATCTCACGCACACCTAAAATCCATTCACATCTTTCTGTGATCGCCCAAACCTCACCTTCCACGTGAGAGGCCGCCGTTTTAAGTGACGGATCATCGTGTACCGAGCCAGCGTGGTGGGCGGCCGCGTGATGCTCAGGCCCGACTGTTTGATCCTGGGGAAAGGGGATGGGACACGGGACTAATCAGTAGCGATGATGGAAATATACGATGATAATAACGGTGGTGATAATGATAGTAGTTATGATAACAATAATGATAACAGTGATAGTAAGAGTTGTTACAACCATAATAATAATGATACTAATGTTGATCATAAAATCCCAGCAATAGCGATAATGATAATAATAATGACAACAACAATAATAAGAGTAACAATAAGTCGACGATAACGCCAATATGACAATTAGATTTATGCCAACAATGATAATTACATTTAAAGAATGGTAATTAATTACAACAATGAAAAAATAGCAACAATGACAAAAACAAGGATATAAGAATAGCACAAGGAATAGCAAGCACATTCTCAGGGCGCCAGAGAATGCCCGGCGCCGCGGTTGCCAAGTGACTTTGCTGTTGCATTTTAAGGAATTGCAGAGTTGCACAAAGGCCTGTGTGACCTCTCTCTCTCCTCTCTTCCTCCCTCCTCTCTCTCTCTCTCTCTCTCTCTCTCTCTCTCTCTCTCTCTCTCTCTCTCTCTCTCTCTCTCTCTCTCTCTCTCTCTCTCTCTCTCTTTCTATTTTTTTCTCTCTACCTCTCTTTCTCTCCCTTCCCTCTCCCTCCCTCCACTCTCTTTGTCTCTCTCTCTCTCTCCTCTCTCCCTCCCCCTCCCCCCCCTGTTTCCCCTCCCCTCTCCCTCCCCCCCTGTCTCCCTCCTCTCTCCCTCCTTCCTGTTTCCCTCTTCTCTCCTTCCCTCCACTCTCTCTCTCTCTCTCCTCTCTCCCTGCTCTCTACCTCCCTCTACTCTCTCTCTCTCTCTCTCTCTCTCTCTCTCTCTCTCTCTCTCTCTCTCTCTCTCTCTCTCTCTCTCTCTCCTCTCTCCCTCCTCTCTCCCTCCCTTCTCTCTCCCTCTCTCGCTCCCCCCCTCTCTGTCTCCCTCTCTCTCCTTCCCTCCCTCTCTTTCTCCCTCCCTCTCCTCTCTCCCTCCTTCTCCCCCCTCTCTCTCTTTCTTCCCTTCTCTCTCTCTTTCTCTTTTCCTTATCGAGGGCGAGAGGACCCAGTAACACCAGTGCTTTAGTTTCTTGGTTTTTCTTATGTTTTCTGTTGTTTTTTTCGTGTTTAGAATATCTAGAAAGGACGAAGCCACGACGGTCAACTAGAGTGATACTGTATCTAAAAGCAAGGCGTATGTGAGAGTAAATAAACAACAAAAACAAAGGGAAGCGAAGTAGTCAAATTAATAAAACATATACATAATAAGAAACAGGTTCACAAGAACAAAATAGGGAATAATGCATATAAATAAGCACATAGTAGATAAATGGTTGAATGAGTAAAACAAAACATTAATATTTTTTAAAGTGTTATCCCTTAAATGAACACCTGTAAATGAATAACTAAGACAAAAATATTGTAAAACTTTTTAGAGTGTTACCCCCTCCCCCCCAAACGAACATACACCTGTAAATAAATATGTAAAACAAAAATTATGTAAAACTACCCAAAGCATTTCTCTCTAAAGGAACATACACCTACAATAACCTAAAACTTTCTAAAGTGTTGCTCCCCAAACGGACACGTACCTGTAGACGAATAAATATCACAAAAAAATCTTCAAAATCTTTCTAAAGTGTTACTCCCTGAAGGACCACGCACCAGTAGATGATAAAAAAAGACTTTTCATAGTGTTACCTCCGAAAGGAACATGGAAAAAAAAGAAAAAAAGAAAAAAAAAACTTTCCAAAACGTTACTCTCTAAAGACCCACGCACCTGTAGATGAAAAAATAAGAAAAACAAACAAACAAACAAACAAACCTTTCCAAAGTGTTACTCCCCGAAGGACCACGCACCATTAGATGAAAAAAACAAACAAACTAAAAACCTTCCAAAGTGGACCACGCACCTGTACCCCATGTCGTCGTCCTCGCCCCCCCAGCCCCAGTACATGTTAGAGTAGCCGTTGAGTCGAAGGAAGTGGTCGCCTCGGACGCTAAGGACGCCGCCCACCAGCAGGAAATAAGGCAACCTGGAGGAGGGACGGAGGGCGTCAGATTGGCTCATTGAAGAGGGCGTGAAGAGGCGATGGGAGTGCGGTGTGTAGTGATAGGTAATTGGTTAGTAATAATTAATTGTAAGAATTAATAGTGAAAAGTGATAGTAATCTATGGTAATGTGTCATTATAATGAAATTTAGTTATTAGTTCTGATGATAAGTAATAGCAATATGACAATGAATAATTTTCATTGTAATTATCAGTAGAGAATGCTCGCCCCCCGCCCCGCCTCACTTGTATCCCAGGGTGTCGACGCCGACGGAGAGGTGGCGTGGCTGCGGCGGACACGAGTACATGTTCCGGTCGTCCTCGGGCAGGAGGTCGACGTCGTGGAAGACGAAGCAGTTGGCGTCGCCGCGCTGCCACGCCTCCATGAAACCGGCGTTCATGATGGCGCCCTTGTTGAAGGTGGCGTTGCCGGCCTGTGAGATGTGGCAACACTGTTAGTCTGAGAGATCGTTTGCTTAATCTGCATAGGAAGTTAAAAAAAAAACGCATTCAATATCAGTAAAAAAAAAAAAGAAAGAAAAAAAAATCTAACCTCGTTTAAAACTGATCATCCATCATAACGTCGCTAAATTTGAATTCGAGGTTAACGCTCAATTTGCTTTTAAAGGAGGGTGACTAAAAGATTCGAATACATTTTAAGGCTGATTGATATCTGCAATAAAGAGATCGCTGCAACATAAGATTTTTAATATTTATCCATCCCAAAATACGTATTAAAGTCGTATATAAACGTCATTTTATACGCGATTAAACATTTTCCAAACATATTTCTTCTGACAACAAGGAACGTTAAAGGAAAATAGAAAACGAATTATACAGATTAAAAATGGAAAAGCCACTTTCACTTACACTCCGTAATGGCCTCGGCGCGCTTAGTTGGTTAAATGAATCTCAAATTGCAGAGAGAAGACTCTCCTTTGAACGCTGGCATTTTTTCGGTCCCATTTAAGAGCTCACACACAAACACGCTCGCAAGCACGTCTACACGCACTCCCAAACACACATGCTGGCACACACCCACGCAGACACATACACACACACACACACTCACACATGCAGGCAGGCACGCACGCACGTACGCACATATACACACACTCACTCACATATCTATTTATTTATCTATCAATCTAGCTATCTATGCATATATCGATCTATATATCTATTCATCTATTCGCCTATGTATCTATTCCATATCTCCATCTCATTTTCATTTCATTGTGTAAACAAGAATGTTCTCGCTAAATTGCGTAGAAAATTTGCATTTATTTCCATAGGCTTGAATATGGACCTGCTTTCTCAGTGAGAGAGAGAGAGAGAGAGAGAGAGAGAGAGAGAGAGAGAGAGAGAGAGAGAGAGGAGAGAGAGAGAGAGAGAGAGAGAGAGAGAGAGAGAGAGAGAGAGAGAGGGAGGGAGGGAGAGAGAGAGAGAGAGAGAGAGAGAGAGAGAGAGAGAGAGAGAGAGAGAGAGAGAGAGAGAGAGAGAGAGAGAGAGAGAGAGAGAGAGAGAGAGAGAGAGAGAGAGAGAGAGAGAGAGAGATGCGGGGGAGGCTTTAAGTGCCTCGGTTAAGTGCTTCAAAAAAGTGCTTCAATGCCTAACTCACATAATGCTGTCGACAGCGCCAAGTTCTATTTTACATCCAACTCAAGTTTTAGATTTCGGATTAAGCAAATTGAACTTACTGCGCGAGTGCTCTGATAATGTAAGTTTCATCAGCAATTATCAATCGGATCGTCATTTATCAGGCCACTAATAATTTACCAACTTTTGAGGGGGGGATTTTATCTGTGAATAATCTCATTTGAAAAGGAGGACATGGATAATAAATCATTCTTGATCATGAGATATTTTTTGAGCTAAAAGATGGCGTGGTTAATGAAAATAACGAACATAACGTTTATTATAAATTATGCAAATTTCCATATTCGCTGGCATACATTTACTTTATGTCAGTGGTAAATTGATATCTCAGCTAATTAGGGGGATGGACGTTTAACATATATAATGGTATTCAATTCTTAAAACTTTCATTATGATTAATAGATGCTAATGAGCGTCAGTTCATATGTTAGGATGTTTACTCACTAAAAAAAATATATGATTGGTGAATATTGTACTGAAAAATGTTTGCCTTATTTGGTAGAGTATGTTCAAGTAATTACATTGCAGGTTCACGATTGCAGCTGACACATTTGGCTTTTAAACTTCATGGAATATGTTGTGCGTAGTTGTGTGTGCTAATAATGCAAAGTCTTATTGAGATTGTGTGTAGCCATTTCTGAAGGGGTTTCTGTGGTTGGCTGTCACCCAGACTCTAACTAGAAGGTGTTTGGGTGATGGGTTTGGGCTGTGGCAGTGTTGCGAAAGTTGCAAAGTGAATGATTAGATTGCAACCTTCGTTGACACATGCTTGAGACGAACTAGATGAATTTGAGCATTTTAAGGGAATCTTTTCTGTACTTGTAATGGAAAACTAGAACATTAACTTCAGTATGTGTGAACTCCAGAAGCAATTGGTTTTAATGCAAGTAGGCATTATCATCGAAATTAAACATACGTGGAATCTAATAAGACATTCTAAGAAATATCAATATTAAGTATCATCGACGTGTAAATATTTCACTGTCACTGTAAAGATTTTACTTTATTGAATAAATAACATGATAGTGAATGGCCCTTTTTTCAATTGACTATATCTGTGTAAATGCAATATAACTATTGAATAAGGCGAGCGAGATGCTTAACATTTACTCTTGGGCTTTTCAGGGACAGTGCCGCAGTGTGCCATTTGGTAAATTGGTGTGTAATGTAATAGTGCCACTTTTGTTCTCCCCGGATGTGTCTGTTTGGCTAAGTTTATTTTACGGGCCTTGGCACCTATGGAAATACCCGTGTGTAACCCAATAGTGGCACTCCGTTTTGCATAATCATCTGTTATTAAGTTACGCTTCCTTCAGCACGCCTCAGCACCTATTTCTAGGCCTAAAGATTGCAGTGAGGACGTTTGCCTCGTGTGGTAGGGACTGTTTGTGAAGTTTTCTCTAACCGGTCATAGCTGTACCTGGAGTTAATGAATTCAGGGCGTTGATTTGGAGAATTGATTAACGATTTGTTAACGAGTTGCAATTTGTACTTGATGGTATGTAGGCTACTGTTTTATCATGTTGTGCTGTATCATGTTATTTATTATCATATTACTCTCAGACTAGAGTACGCGTTTTTAGCCTTGTCTGGACCTGAACTCTATACTGTTGTTGTTTATTTGTTTGTTTGTTTACCATGGTGCGCAAACTGTTTTGTGATTTTGTAGTTGATTACAGTGAGTTTTAGTACCGATCTTTTTATCCTCAACTAAACAACCACCAAGCTGAGTTAGAAGATGTAAGTGCATTTTATCTATATATATTTTTAAATTAGTTTCTACTTAACTTAACCCTACTTGTATATCTGTCTATTCACACACACAGACACACACACACACACACACTGTAAAATGTATAGAGTGGCTATCAGGGTGGTAATAGTTGTTTCACGGACATACCGCACAGTTAAGGGAACACACGAGACGAGTCTTAGGGTAAGCGCTGAGTGCGGGGGTCGCGGGGGGGGAGGAGGCTGGTGAGTCCGGCGGGTGCTGAGGCTCGACTGAGAGGTCAAACAAGGTCAGATAAACTCGTCATCTAAGTCCTCGCTGAGTCGATGGTTCTCTACTGGACCACTTGGCAAACGGCCACGTGGTCTGTGTCTAATGGCTTACACAAATCGTGCTTATGTATACAGTACACACACACACACACACACAGACACACACACACACACACACACACACACA